TGAACAGTAATACCAGTATTTTCAACCTAAATAAACTGTATCCGAAGCAGATTTCTCCGTTGAAAAAAGTTTGAATGTCTTATCGGAAACTGTCGAGGCCCCGAAAAGATGTTCCGCATAGGTGCAGGGCATACTCCTCAATAGTTGAGGAAGCGAGCTCCTTGCAAAATGGCAGAAGAGGGAGTCGAGGACTCGAAGCTTTCACTTACGATATACCGTAAATCCTCCAATAGCAGCCCCCTTCCCATGGAAGCCCTTCTCTAATGCCCCCCCCCCCTCGCCGGAGCTTTTGAGAAAATAAAAGCTCCCTCCAATAGAAGCCTCTCTCTACTAGGAGACACCGGGCTGCCGAAGTTGGCCGAGGGAAAGGTGACGTGATAGAATCTGGACTGCGGAGCCCCAGGATATCCACCCACACCGAGTACGCTCTCCCCCAGAAATCCATCATCACTTTTCCGGAGCAAGATTTCTCTTGGAATAGTAGGAGCTCCCCTCCAATAGTAGCCCCTCTCCAATAGAAGCCCCTCGCCGGAGGCATTTGAAGAAATAGAAGCCCGGGTCACCTAGCGGATTCACGGTAGGTGTCATGTTCAACAGTGTTCTCGGAGCACGCGTAGATACCTACGCTTTGTAATCACGGGCGAGGATGTCAAGGAAGTGGTCACTAATAATCATTGCCCGTCTCGACGCAGCCGGAAGCCTCATACATACTTACGCGCCCTTGAGCGACATTTCGAACTCGGAGAGTTCACGGAAGAATTTCACCACTCCATTGAGACATCTTCCCACCCCCGGAACGCCGCTCAGAGGCATATCCGAGATTGGACTTCGCCGAAGACATATTCGGTGTTGTCAGAGGGTGCGAGAGTACACCCCAATTCGACTGCCTACCACGGCGATTCGTTCGGCTATCTCGAACCGAGAAAAGATCCGGGCGATCGGCTCGTTTCGGTTCTTCAGGATGTCAGAGCAGAAGACTCGCTCTTGGACCCAGGGATTGTGTTTAGCTGTAGCGGTGATGAGCGCCCAGTTAGTGATCAGCGTCAGGCAGGATCTATTGCTCATGATCCACAGCTGCGGCTATTCTAATTAACGGCGACGCGACTCATCGTTCGGCATCGATTTCATTTCTGTCAAACTATCTACTCCACCTGGAACGATTATTGTGAGCCCGAGGTGCGCGAGTCGGATTTGAGATAGAGAGTCGTCACAGATAACGTGCTTGTGAGATCAAAATAAATCAGAGTGTATGCCCGTCCGTGGCGATGAAAGCTTCGTGTTTTCCGTCCGGTCCAGAAGTGGTCGAGAAGTAGCACTCCCAACAACAATTAAGTCTTGTGATACGTCGAATCGCATGCTGGAATTTCATATTTGGTGCCGTGACCAAGATTCATTGCTAATCGTCATCGAAAACTGACATCGATTTCGCCAATCATGTCCGCGGCCGCGCTGAAGGTCGACGAGACGCGCTACACTCTCGGCTCCCTGCGAGGCCTGCGAACCCAAAAACGAAGAACCCTCCTCGCGGAGCTCGGACTGCCGCCGGCCAGCTTGACTGCCAAACAGCGCAATGCAACCGAGGGGTTGTCCGATGCCGAACGATTGACGCTGGCCGGGCGTCTTCTCGAAGATATCCGAGAGTATGATCGAGCGGTGCTGAACCATCTCGAGCTCACCGCCGAAAAAATGGAGCTCGAACAGGATGCGATCGAGGAGTTTGAGGGCCCAGTGCGAGGCAAGATCGCGCAGCTCACCAACAGGCTCAGACCCGTCGAATTTAGCGCCACAGAGCTCTTCCAGTCCGCAGGAGCAACGACGCCGACGGGCCGACGGGTCACGTTCGGTAACGTCTTGACTCAATAAACGCCGATTGACTCTCATCCCGAAGCCCAGTCGGGCCCCAACGTCCCCGCTCCTACAACAGTCTATCGATCATCAAAGGAGTTAGACCTCGCCCCTGAGAAGTTCAGTGGCGAGCGACTGAAGTTCCGACACTTCAGAGCCCAGTTCGAGTGTTGGATTGGCCGCCAGCCTTTCACCACACCTCGCGAGCGCAAGTGCCGCCGGAGTTGGATTGGTGGAAGACGTTCGAAAGTTCATCGAGTTCCTGAAGCAACGCGTGAACGACCTAGAAGATGCTCGACTCATCGAGGCTGCCGTCTACCCGAACGCTCAGAGGAGCAATGAGGATCCGAGAGCCAGATCGCGGTTCGCTTCGAAGGATTCCGAAAGAGGAAGACTTCGTCACTACACAGTTGGTGCGGCGGGCCACCACGGTGCTCCAGATGGCTACAGAGAGAAGTTCCCCCCACGTGAATGTCTGTTCTGCAAAAGTGCCGAGCACGGATCGTCCCGACGTTCCTCCGACATGACGCTCGAGAAAAGACGTGAGGTCCTGACGAAGCTAAGGCGGTGTCCGAAATGTCTGCGACCCGATCACAACAAACCGAGTGACTGCCGTGGGACCCGCTATCCTTGCGATAAATGCAGATCATTTCAGCACTATCCTGTTATGCATCCCGACAAAAGTTGTGAGACGACCAGCGCCCCAGTCCTCGAGGAAGTTGCCGCGAGCACCGTGTCGAAAATGCGCTCATGATGACAGTCTCTGCGTTCATAATCAATGGTGGAGTGAAGATTCCTGTCAGAATCCTGCTCGACAGCGGCAGTTCGATGACGTTCATCTCGCCGAGCACGCGCCGACTCCTCCGAGGAGCGGTTCCAGTCCAGCGAGCGGAGTTTCGCGTTCAGGGTTTCGCGTCCTCTCACGACATTAACGCTGAGCGCATCAACTCACGAACGAATGACGGCAGGGCAAAGATGTACGTGGCTCTCTTCGTTTGTACCGCGACGCGAGGGGTACACTTCGAGGTGGTTCAGTCGATGTCAACCATGCACACTCACCTTGCGCCGTTTTCTGAGCCTCTACCCAGCGTGCTCGAAATTCATCTCCGATAACGCGAAATCCTTCATCAAGGCGGCTACCGAGATCAAAGCGGTATTCAACTCGTGCAGAGACGCGAGAGTTTCGCGAGTTCGAGAGTTCGATCGCTGCTGGCGAAGCGCAGGATAGATTGGGACTTCATCTGTCCACGGGCCCCTTGGAGGGGAGGGATGTACGAGCGCCTGGTTGGAACGTTCAAGCGCGCCTTGGTGAAGACTTTGGGTTCGAGTTACATATCGTTCGAGGAATTCCGCACGATCGTGGCGGAGCTCGGATCTGTCATCAACGACCGCCCGATTACGCATGCTTCTACCGAAGTCGATGCCCCGACAGCATTAACTCCAGGTCACCTCCTGCGAGGTGGACCACCGACCGCGACTCTCGCCTCAGTGGAACCTCTTGACCGACTCGGTCCGAACGGCAGGGTGGATGGCAAAGAGCTCCGAGATGCGCAAAACATGAAGACATCTTATTTCCGCGGCCTGTCCGTCAGATGGTACCGGGAGTACATTCTCATGCTCCGTTCAGCCAACCTCACGAGCGGGCACGAAGCGGAGCCAATCCAGATCAACGACGTGTGCTTGTTAAAGGACGATTACCTGCCAAGAGTCCGATGGGTTTTAGTTCCAGTTCTGGACGCACATCCTGGCCGGGATGGCCTCGTCAGAACGTACACAGTCCGTTTCGAGAATGGGACAACATCACGCCGTTCCGCTCAACTGCTTATACCGCTTGAAGTAACTCTGGAAGAGAGAAGATCGGTACCGCTGCGGTCAGCGGAAAACTCAGAGATCGTAAATTACGTTAGCTAAGGAATCGAAAATTCGTAATAAGATTCGTAAATAAGATCATCCCCCATAGCCTTGTGTCAATGTAACGAGGGCAGTGTCGATTACTGTGAGCCCGAGGTGCGCGGGTCGGATTTGAGATAGAGAGTCGTCACAGATAACGTGCTTGTGAGATGAAAATAAACCAGAGAGTATGCCCATCCGTGGCGATGAAAGCTTCGTGTTTTCCGTCCGGTCCAGAAGTGGTCGAGAAGTAGCACTCCCAACAACAATTAAGTCTTGTGATACGTCGAATCGCATGCTGGAATTTCACATCTATTGCTCATGATCCACAGCTGCGGCTATTCTAATTAACGGCGACGCGACTCATCGCTCGGCATCGATTCTATTTCTGTCAAACTATCTACTCCACCTGGAACGACCACTGTGAGCCAGCATCCGAGTGCTCCACTTCTGAACACGGAATCGACCCTCCGACTCGGGACCGATCCTCGCTGACAGTTTGAGAACAATATAGAGAGCAGATTCGGATTGCTGCCATTCAATGAAGACCCTGGCCTCTAGTGATTTGGTATCTCTTGAGTCCCCTGGCTAGTCGTCGATGTGAATCGTTGTATGCGAAATGCCGCAAGGATACGCGGAACACCCACTGGGGTTCTCGATTGCGTTCCGCAAGGAAATCCCCAACCCAATCGAATGTCAATCGCGTTCCTCGTTCTCGCTTGAAACAATGTCAGCCCGGGAAATCAGTAGAGGAGAAGAGAGGATAGGGGATCGATAGAAAACAAAGTGGAAGTACTCAATCAAGGGGACGACGGAACGTATCGGCTGAGTGACGAGCAGCGGAACCGGAAACAAAGTCGGTCGTCGGATTCGAAATGGACAAAAACAAAATAAAACGAAGAAAACAAAAAAACATCTTTCTCACGAGGCTAACAATGACTCCCCCACGAAGCCGACACTAGCAGCTCCCGAGTACCATCAACAGTTGAGCGAGGTACACATTCTGGAGTGAAGAGCAAATGAGTCTGAACCCTTCTCGGACCGTGAAAGAGAACTTACCTCAAGGAGGTAGACGATTCTCCCAGCTCTGCGCTCTCAGTGCTTCGGACGTATATAAGATACATACTACACATACGCTCCGGAGCGCCAAGAGACCAGAGCCGACTTCACGCGATCGGCCGGTAGTACGGGGGACGCTTCGATGAGACCCGGGACCTGTCGAGATGAACAGATACATGCTTTCGAACCGACAAGGGGAGCCTTGCAAACGCGGAGATTTATTCACAGCACATTTTTGTGGTCAAGCGCAGTATGTTCATGATAAATATTCGATTTCTCGTCTCTGCTTATATCCGATAAAGTAGCTTGTGGAAATTGTTCGTATCTTCTGTGCCTACGCTTGTGTAAACTCCCAGGCGCCAGTCAGTCCGAACGGCGCGTCCCGTGTCCACGGGTCGCAGCGTGTAGATCGCTGCTCCTTTTGACTAGAGTGTACTCATTCGCGCGCGGGAAGCAAAAGTCCCGCTAGCCCAAAGGAAATGATTGCCTAGCATAAACATGTTGCATACCGATGCCGAATCAGCAACAGTTCAAGCCCCGTGCATGGAATCTGTGCATGACGGATTGTTGCTCGTTCCAACAATATTTGTGTAACAACCTAGTCGCTAATGTGTAGATCGCTCGCAGTTAATCAGACGAAACGAAAAGCAGAAGCTGCATCCGACACATCCTCCTAAGACGCTTTCTCCATCTTGATGAGCTCAAGGATTCCGTCTTGCATTTCCTTGACCGCCTCGTACTCCGTCAGGCCCATACGTCTCTTGTTGGAAATGTCATAAACACCCCCTTCCGATTCGGTGTGCTCGCCTCGAGTTCCTTCCGGATCAAAGATTCAAGGTCAGCACGAAATTAAAACTGATGAGATCATTCTTGGACACCATCGGCATGGAAGAGATCATACATACATATATGTCGATAATCGTCCTTGTGGACTTACCTCGGACTTGCAGGTTGTACTTGCTGGCGATCTGCTCGAGCCGCGTCCGGTTGGCGGCGAGCTTAGGCAGCTTAATATGTACGGAGGCACGGATGGTTGTGCCCAAATTAGTGGGGCAGAATGTGAGGTAGCCCAAACGATCGTCCCTTGAGAATGGAATGCGTGCCTCGATTGCCTTGATTCCCTACAATGATCAAAACGTTGGGAATGCGAGATATGTACGGAATATTTCGAAGTATAGCCATCCACGGTACAGTTCCGATAGGGAGATCGCTTCCGAAACGAAACGTACGTTCACAAGCCTGCCGAAGACCTGTTTCAAGTCGCCGCCCATCTGCATGGAAATAATCCGAAGATGGTCCTCCTCGTTCACCCAGACGAGGAAAGTTTTCGCATCGTTATGGTAAATGCCCCTTCCGGTTGGCCAGAAGCGGCAAGCGTTGGCTGCTTGCAAGAACCTGCAGCGAATAGAGCTCACTTTAGCGAGATTGATTCCCCTAAGAGCTCATGGGACGTTTTTTGAGGCCATCTTCCTCGATATTTCCCAACAAATCGATGTGATCTTCCCGACCCTCCATTGGCTCTCTCATCAATGACCCACCTGTCGCCCTCTTTGAAGAGGAAGTGATCGTCGATGAGTTGCTGTTGAACGCCCTTGCTCATCCCTGTGAGCGGGTGGTAGACGCCCTTGAGCTCACCCGACAATCCTTTGAGAGTGGAGGATACTTTGTGTTCCATCTCTCGGTATTGCTGGAAATTTCCTCACACATTTAGCGAGTCTCGTGGTGATGAGGAGCTCCCGGAGAAAGACGAGGGTTAATGTCTCCATGATATGTAAGAGAGATATCGGTGTAACACTCACCGACTCGGTGAGACACGGGTTGAAAGGATATCCCTGAAGCGACCGGCCGCATCTCACTCGTGTGGATATGACGAATTTACCCTCGGGATCTAAATTGACGAGTGTGCTCAGATCACCGAAATCAGATCTCGGATGACGGTCGGTGGCTTTGAAGCCGTTGTGGTAATCGTCGATGATCGGATCGAACAACGGTGCGAACAACTTGTAAGATTCGGCATCTGGAGCGTATACTCCGACCCCGGAGTCGAGATTGGCAAAGCCGGACTGGACGACGTCGAGCAGCGTCGCCCCCATGTTGGTGCTCCTGTTCTGAAGTTTCTCGAGGACATCCTTGGTGAGGTATTTCTTGAGCAGCGACTTGCATTGTGGACTCGATTGAAGTTTCTGGTAGCCGGCGATCAATTTATCCTTCACGTCCTGAGGCACGTCCTTGCGCGGCAGAATGCATCGCAAGACGTTTGTACTGCGGATCAAAAAATAGATTCGGTAATTCTCTATCTCCGTTCCGTAGTTGAAATCCGCTGCTAGTTCAAGCTCATCAATCGCTTTCAACGGTTCAGAAGTGTTACCTTGACTGAATACGAGCAACTACATAGGGCGCGAACGTCCTCAGAAACGTCTTTGTCATTGTCCTCGGACTCAAGATGTATTTTCGAAAGGCTCATTTTTCGCCATCATCGGCACTTTGCGCCCTGACCCTCTCTCTGAGTGTAGAGCACGCTCTTGAACAAGTTCGCAGAAACGGCCTATCTCTCTAGTAAACGTTCATGACGAATATCTCGGACTTCGCCGTAGAGTCAGTTAAGGTGCTTAAGAGTTACTAGTTCCCGGAACGACCCGAGCAGAACATACTCGGAGCGATCGGAAGTCACTGAAGCTCTCAGAACAGCGTCACCTCAATCTGACTTACCCCTGGTAGGCAACATAGCACAAAACCGCGATGGCTGGCACCGCAATGGCAGCCTTCTTGAGCGCTTCGTTATCCATCGCTTTATCTGTCAAATAGAACAAGCGCTGAACACATGGGAACTTCGAGAAATCTCGCTCTACTGGACGACCCCGCTACCATCGACCCTCGCGGCTTCTGTCTGGGAGTCACTACGACCCGTACGTCTCGTACAATCGAGTTGCGGACACTGTTTACCGTCCGTCTTGCGACTCCTTCCCGAAGTTGAGGACTACACTACCGATGAGCCAAACTAACCGAGAACTCTGAGAGGTCAGGAACTTCAACAGACCGGCCGGCCGGTCTTGTGGCTCGCTTCGTGCCGCATCTAGGTCTTCGATAGTGCGGTGTTCGAGTGGTTCACTGTCGACGGAGAGGGCTCGAACCTAGCGGCTGCAGAGGTGCTATTGGCCGCTAGAAGGTCTCTGTCTCAGACATCAAGAGTCTTCTAATGCTTAATTCTAAAATAACGTCAAGGTTTCGCGAGGTCAGGTATGGGTTAGTGTTATGTCAGAGAGACGGAGAAGCAGAGGGTGAGCTAACGAGACGAGAGGCTGGTGCCGAGAATGCGCGGCAGCCATAGGTATTGTGTTCGCTTTACTCTCACGTACTCGGAACTATCAACAGCTGAGGCTCCGATACAAAATTGAAAACAAGTCCACAACAAGTTCAGCTTACTGGCAACTCTCCACGTCCTAGCCTCTGAGCTCGGGGATGGCACGTTTTCTATTTCGAAAGGCGGCGCTCCGAACAAAAACTCACAGCGAATGCCTCCGACAGACACGGGTAGGGAAAAAGAATCGCCTGCCGGAAATGTCCATCGAATCTAAATTCCCGCTCCATTTATCAGCGATCAGACCGCTGAAGACTGAACACGTGTGCCTGCGGAGTTGTCATTTGCAGGCATTCATGGCCGCCGATAGTGAGATCCCAAACATGATTTCTGTTCTATAATCCACGTTCCGGCGCTATGCGACAAGTCACACCGCCCATATTCGTGAGTTCCAAGACAGGTGCTGAGAGAAAGCGCGCGCTCCTGATCATGAATTAGTAGCGTCGGGGTCTGTCGCCGGAGAGACTTCCGACGGGAGTTCTAACCCTGGAGGGGTCCGCGGTACGCCGAGAAAGTGTCAGAGTGCCTCAACGATCGGGACCAGGGTTTGGATTCCATGATACTTCAATACGGATCAGGAAAGAAACTTCGTGCTCCAGAGTTCTGCCGGGGTGAGATTGTATCCCACGGATATCCGGGCCGGAGTTCGCCCTAGCTCCCAAGTATCGTCGTCTGACCACGAGGCTTCCAGCGAAGCCTCGCCCCGTTGTGATTCCGCCATCTGCCACCTGAGTTTTGGGCTTACAGAGATAGATGGTGCGTCGATATCAAATTCTTTCTAGACAGGAAATCGAAGACATTGACAGAGCTGTAGGGCCCGAAACAAGAGATTGGGGCGAGAAATTCCTCAAGATAAATTTATCGACTCGCGGCCAGATTCTTCCTGCGATCGCTCGAATATCCTACGAGCCTTAATGAATAATTCTGTCCTCCCCTTCCTTCTATGGGATAGTCGTGCATGAAGCCCCGCGTACGGAAGCGTCACCCGTGGCCGCACGCATAAGTGCTCGCTCGGCAGAATCTCAACTTTCCCGAACGCCGAGTCGCTCCTACGGCTGGGCGCGCGCGAGGGCCGACTCCTCGCAGCCTGCCTGCCAGATATTTCGGAAAACACGATGCCCGAGAAAAAGGAAGCCAACTGGACCTCCCGGCTTCCGGACAATAGAACGACCGCATATTTATTGCGTCTCTCCGTTGCAGAAATGATAATCGACATAGAAACACTTGACACATAGTGTCTTTTTACAACAGCCGCAGATTATAGACGGTCACAGCGAACAGCTCGCCGATGAACACGCTTCATTCCTATCGAAGAGCATCTCTGCTAGGCTCGGAAATTCTATCCGTGGGGCATCGAAACCGCTTCTACGCCAGGCGCACAGCCACATCGGTCGGAATTGCGGATGACAAAACTGATTGAATATCAAGGACTGCAAGGGGAGAACATCGTTTCCAAGGAGGACTTGCAGTGGACTCTGTCAGCCCGAGCTCGCCAGCTTTAGTGAGCGCCCATATCCTCAACGTTCTGTCATTCACGATCAGGCCATGCGCGCGGGCAGAATCAAACGATTCCTTACGATACCGTTCGACCTTCACATAACGTTCGCGAAGCGTGCCGAGATGCTCCCTGTACTGCTTTAATCGTCGGATATAACTCCTGTCCCTAACTCTCCTGAATGTATGTTGAATCGAAGCGAACGAGAACCTCCCGTGTTGGTCAATGGAGTCGAGCACCTTGCAGATGTAGTCGTACGAGAACAGGTCACTCGAAATGGCATCGTATACGTCTTCGAAGACGGGATCATACTCATCTCCGACATAGCTCGACTCGGAGTTCGTCAATCTCTCCAACTGTGGCCGCGTCTTGATTCTCGAAACCTTTCACTGAACTGAGGATGTTCCCAGCCAACTTGACGGTACTTGGTTCCGCATCGTCGCCGGCACTCTCGTTCAGACTCAAGATATTCAAGTGTCTTCGAAGCAGAACTAACAACGATTCCGCGGACACTGACATTGCTGAGCTTATTGGAGCAATTCAGAACAGCTCAAACTGCGATCTATGCGACTCGCGCGGAAACAGGTACGATTCTTGGAGCGCAGACGTTTTGTGTGAAGACAACGAAGTTCTCCCGAATCCACTCGGACTGTCGCTCTGTGACGCGCTTTTCAAATGAATCTCTTCTTCGAAAAAACACCCTTATACGGTGAAAAACCCTGGAAATACACCTCGGATTCATTCTGTCCCTATCGAGCGTTGGCAGCTCGCATGGTGGGGGTTCTTCATCTCTCGGTGGGACTATTATTTGGGCGAAGTTTCAGAAAAATCGCCGTGGGGCAGTTCGTAATGTTCCCTTCAAGTGCTTATCCTCGGAGCATCGATGTTCACAGACTATGGCTGAATGCAAGGACAGTTCCGTATTATAAGGCATCATATTGACAGTCGAACATTGCTTTTGAGAGGTCATCGCAGTGAGCGAGCGAATCGAGTTTCAGAGGGCTCGAGCGCCTCGGCCGCGAAGCAAACTGGCAGGCGGACGAGCAGAAGCACGCACGCCGGCTCACTTACTCACCCGCCCGCCCGCTCACTCGCTCGCTCGACCGCCCGCCAGTTCGCAAGGGTGGCGTTTGCGAAATAACGGCCGATTCAAGCTTTGCTGCGTTTCATTTCCGTGGAGCAGTCGAGCGCGATTGATCCGACGACAGCGAATTGAGATTCGGATTTTGGGAGACGCCCCTCAGACTCCCCGAGCTCCATGAGCCCGGCTCGCGGCCCAGGTGAAGTGCTCGCTCCCGCTGCTGTTGGGGAACAAGGATCTTCTACTCGAACGATCGGGGCTTTTCCTTTTTTCTTCTCGAATTCAGAATCGATTCTGTTGACAGTTCCCTCGCCTCGAGGGGTGAACGCTCTCATCAGACCGCTATGCAGCGGAGCGTGGTGTCAAGAGAGGAAAACGAGTTGAAAGATGGCCCTTCGTTGTACCCCGTTCGATATCGTGCAGCGCAAGCTACCATTATGATTATTAGCATCATCATTGCCTTTGCTCCGATCGCCGCCGTTGAGCCTACTATCATTATTGCGAGAACAGTGCATGTTCATCCGTCCGGATGAGTCATCATTTTTCCCGACATATTACTCGCTGCAGTTCGCCTATCGAGACCCACAGATGGCGATGACGAGAGGGAAAAAATGTCACTCAGCCAAGAGGATAGGAGAAGAGGATCACTTCGAAGACGGGACAGGCCCGAGCCATACGAGGACGTATTCTATTTCCGATGGAGGATTTGCGCTAGATTCGCTGAATTGCCCCTATCGGGGAATTAGATGGACTGAGGTGGACGGCACCAGATCCATCTCTTTTCCTTCGAATTCACGCTGCCTGCTGACAACGTGGACGCAGTCCACGGGAATTCACGCAGGAGCTCGGCTACGAGAGCGTCCGAATGATCCCTGCCCGAGATACTCCGCTAGACACACACGGGCCGAATCGATAAGTCGAGGGCGAACTCGCAACGAAGTTTCACCTTCATGCGTCGTCCCGACTCCAGACCACGTCGGTGTTCCGGATCGCGTCAGGATGATCCTGGGTCAGGAATCCAGAAAGTCCTGAGCTGAGTCTCTGCCCGACTGCGGGTTGTTCATTCCATGGCAAGGCGCATCGCCAACGAATGCCCCAGGGGACATACAGGGGACAAGAACGTCGTCTGGCCAAGGTTGCTCAAACTTTCCAGCTCATTGGGTGGCATTCGTTCTCCGAACGTTCGTACTCACTTTTCGGCCGCAACGAAGATCTCCCAGAGACAGAACATCTTTGCAGTTCGCAAAATCTCAGGACGCTTCGGTCCCGACCAAGGGTTAGGACCTCGGATTCGCTGCTGAGATGAGGGCCAGGAGAGAAGCGTCCTTTCGAGGAGAACGATGCAAGCGCCCCCTGGATCTGTCGGGCGAGAGAGTCAGGATAACTATGCTCCTGCTTGTACTCCTGCTCCTGGTTTGGTCCTGTCGCCCGCTCTGCTCGCTCCCTCCGCTCGTGGGTACACAGTGACATGCGGGACGTGACAATTCAATTCAAACGCCCGCCCGTTCCTTCGGTCGCTTGCTCGGGCGCCGCTGGACTCCGCGAGCTGTCGAGAAGGGCTACGGTGGAATTTCCTGTTTTGCGTCCTGTTTACCAGTTCGTTATCCATGCGCGAGTTCCTGTCAGCTCCCCGGCCAGTACAAACAGGGAGCGGCAGGGGACAGCGAGCGAGCGCAAGCGAGCGGACGGGAAGTTGAAGTTGACGGGTCCGTTCACTAGGTTCAGGCTCCTGTCGGTCTGTCGAAGAGAAAGAAACAGAGAGAGAGTGAGAGAGTTTTCGAAACCCACCCGACGGAGCCTGAAACAGGAATCTTCGCGATGGCAGCGCTAGTGCGGACGGACGAGAGTAAAAAACAGCCTTGCTAACATCCTCCGCCGAACTTCATCCTCATCTTGAGCAAGCGGCAGCCGGGGCGGCAAAGATACAGCTGGGAGCAAGAATTGGACTATGCAGGGAATGTGTCTATTTGTCCTGCGGTCTTTTCGACTTCCCTGGACAGATCCGGGGGCTCGTCCTGTCCATATTCCTCTCTGCTCGGCGCCTGAACCCGTGTTCCAATTCTGCCGGAGCTGAAATTCCGGTCATATCGCGTGTTCGTCAATCGAGTCGCTCATTACCGCGCGCTAGGGGCATCCAGGTCGCTGCAACTTGCTCCCGTCTCTAATTGTGCCGCCTATATGTCAATGACAGACACTGCCGGCTCGGGTTCCGAAGTTCCCGAGCGTTGTTTACAGGTCTGAATGAACCTCATTCACAGCGAAGACTCTCGCGTTGCGCATCTGGCTTTGTAAAGAAAACCGCAGACAATAAAAAATCGCGTTTCCTATCCGTAGCAAGCCGTCGCATGCTCAGAAATCGTCTGTGCGTTTTTCGTGTTCTGTCTTGTCAAGATACCCGCTCACCGCAAAATCCTTACAAATGTCAGACAGCGTCACGTAGGACGATCGCGGCGACGATTCCGATAATAAGTTGACTCTTATTAGACGGCGTACGTGTTGTCATTATTTGTGTTTCGACGGATTTCAGCGAAAGGATTCAAGCACAGTGGTCGGAATCACGCTTTGCCCTTGCCGATGATGCGCGATGCCAATAAGAGTCCCGTTGGTACAGACCGTGCTTTTCGAATGAAGTATGATATCGCAAAAGTGACTCGCTAAGCAACAGCTGGCCGGGTCCGTGCGACCATGCGTTTAATTTTTTTCTCTTTGTTGTGCTTGCCGTCCAGGCTTTCGTCACCGCGGTGAGTTCTTCAAGACATTTTCTCGAGAGACTTGGGAGAAATCCGAAAATAAGGGGAAATACAACCGTCCGTAGTACGGCTTCGGAATTGGTGTGTCCGTCCGTCCGTTCGTCCAATGACGGATGATAAAAGAGGGACGATGGGTGTGATTGCTACGCTTCCCGGAGAAAAACATCAATTCTAGTTAGTGTTCTGTCAGCAAGGAAATTTAGTCTTTGAGTCTCGGTATGAAAAATTATACATTCGAGCCCTCTGCTGGAAATTAGATCTAGGTATCGACTCTCGATCGTCGAGCAGAGGCCCTCAACTCACAGAATAAATTGTTGCCTCCAGGAGACCCGTCGCAGGCGACGGCGCAAAATAAAACCTTTGCCGCAGAACGATCTTCATGCACCGATACCTTATGCATACGGCTATGGCGCCCTGGACGAAGATGGACATCATTCTCATAAAGAAATCAGTGACGGGTTGAGGGCGAGAGGAGCTTTCACTCAGACCCTCGCTGACGGCCGCATAAGAACCACAGAGTATATCGCCGACGAGAAAGGCTTCCGCGTAAGTGCTAGGGATTATCCCGGCGGGACTGCACATTGGAGTCGTTCAACCACCGGCTCTCACCGGATTCGAAATGTTTCTCCGCGTGTGCGGCGTGCTTATTCATTCGTTAGTGACTCCTTGATCCCGAGGATGACTAAGGAGAAGTTTCCATGTAATCGACGAAGAGCTCAGTTTCTCTGTTTCGGGAACCATCGAGAGAGCTTTCGGAACTTCGTAGAATAGCAGATATATCTTGACGACAATTATTAAGACAATTATCCGGATAGGGCGGATGAGCCGCTGTCTACCAGATTTGAATGGTTTCTTTCCACCTTTTCTAGGTGATTGCTATACGAGACGCCTATCTGGACTCAAACCTCATACCGACTCCGAGACCGACAGTCAAACCCGTCAAAGACGAATTTCGCCTCCGCTGGAATCCGACGAGGGTTCGCCCGAGTGAAAATTGACCAACTTAAGGCAGCGCATCGTTCAATACCGCGGTACCAACAAGAGTCCAGCGGCGAAAACGGGTTGGAAATACATTGCTCTGTAAAGCTCCACGCGTCCCTCTCCTTATCGTAATAAATGACTTCCAACAGAACGCTTCTCCGATTCTCTGGAGGACGCCTCGGGATGCGCAATCGAGGAATCACCATTCACGATGACCCCACACTGAGGCAGGGCAGCGTAGTGAAAACGCCGTAACGAACGGTAGAAAAGGGTTGAAAGCTTTATTTGATGCAAAGTTCGCATTGGGTCGCCATTGTATGCAGAATATCACTGTCTCAGTCTGTCGATGGTTTCGCCAACAAAAAGAAGGAGCGAATTGGATATGAGTGTTCTCTCAACATGATGAGGTCTGCGTCGGTGTGAACCCGTGAACGATTACAGTGGGTAGGACGAGTTCATACCATTACATACACCATAGTGACCATAGTCGATCGGCCGCAGCCCTGCAGGAAAATGCGGAGCAGACTTCAGTTAAAACGGGGTCAATGGATCGTGTGCTCTCACTAATAGGCTGCGGGGAATCGTTTGGCAGTTCCTGCTGATGGAGTTTGTTGATCGATTTCTCTTAGAATGCAAAGTTTCCGCAGCGGATCGGCGAGTTCTGCATCATAAGAACAGACGTTCTCTTTCCTCTCTCCGGGGATTTACGGGTAACTGGCCGGAGGGCGTATCGATCAATTTTCTGGCAGAGCATGAGAGGATTCCTTCATTTTCTTCTCGAGATGAAATGTGCAGGGCTGATGCCTTCGGCCATGATAGATAGTGCGTTTCGGTCCAACCATCAGGGCAAGTTCGGTGCATAGAAATTCCAAGTGAGTGTAAGTTGCGAGAGGAAACGAATACCTATGATCGGAATTGGTCGCTGTGAATCCAAAGAATCTTTGTATTCCCACGAAATGTTTGTAAAGCCTGCATATATGATCTCATCGTCTGTTCCAAGGAATCGCGAGACCGACACTGAACGAGTTTACAGCATTGAAATCTGCTTTTCCGCATCGGTATTTGCTTCTGATTTGGAATTTCCATCGCGATTCGGACGCGGAACGTTGCTCGATATGATCCAGTGTACACATTTGAATTAAAACGGGCGTCAGTAGAAAAAGTAATCCGTACGCCTGTCGGATCGAACAGTCCCGCCTTGTCGTATTGAGTGTCGGGACTATGTGGCGACTAGCTCACAATCTGATGCATATTTTACAGTAGATATTCAACCATCGACACCACGAGCTTATCATCAATATGAATATATTTATGATATGAGATTCTCAAGATAGAAGCCAGAGGTGGAGCGGAACGAACAGGTATAACGTAGATAGCTTGAAACCTTTCATAAGTTCCTCACTGTGCTAGAAGCGTGTTTTAGCTTATTGCTCAAAGATAGGTTGCATCAGGATATGGTTCAGTCAATTCAACAGTCTGATATCAGGATCCGTTCGCCCTCTTGATGATCGGGCTCTAATTTGTAGATTCTCGAAAAGAAGATCCGTTCATAAAGGTTCACGTTGCTGTCGTAAGCAATATGCTTCAAAAGGTTAAAAAGGTAAAAATCTCAGACTACGCAGGGTATGCCCTTCAACGAGAATAGTTTCTGTGATAAAAATTGTCTCGTCATTCTCCAAGGTCAGGCGTCTTCGAGTCCCTCGACGTTTCCGTCCGAAACGTTGGATAGCGGCTCACTTGAATGTTTCACAATGCAATCGTATCAAACAACACCAACGACAACAACGGACATGTGTTGATAGCAGTTGTTCTTCTTGAGTCGATTGTAAGAACCAGTGATATAGATTCTAATGTTCGACTTTTCGTTCGGACAGTCACGTGGCGTCGGCTCCATGTTTTCAACTGACCCGTTTCGATTGGGCGCTATTAAAGGAATGTTCAGAAGAATGAACCCTGAGCAAAGTATGGGCAGCGTCGAATTCAAGACGAATCTAGATCGAGCTTGTTTGTGACTTTTTCGAGATTCGGGGAGGACGAGCTCTCTCGGGAGCTTGTCCTCACGACTGTATTTTCGTATGGATTGGAGAGCCCATAAGCGGAGGATACGATTATTCGGAGTATTTCCGTCCATTCCGACCTCGTCGTCTCATCCGGGGCCGGATGAGCTGCGTGGCTGTTTGCTGATGATATTTGTGCCGAGCTGAGCGCCGAGGTGATCGATTCGCCGATTCGGACCAATAGACGGTCCGTCAGGCGCAGCGACGACAAAACAGAGAGCGCTCCCAGTCGAAGGATGGGATGGATTCCGGATACTCCTTGGCTTCGCGCAATCGCATTCTCGACTACGTAGGGTCAGAGGACGCCGGCAGCTCTGGGCCGCGGGCTACAGAAACGAGATCACACAATTTCGTCTTTGGATAAGGAAACGTTAGAAGCCGCCAGCTGGATTAACTTGCGGAGACCCTTCCGACTGCCGGTGCTGTAAATTGGAAAAAAACACAATTTGAGAAAAAAAAAGTGATGGAGCCATCGGTTCCCGAGGACAGATCATGATGTTGTGGGAGAGATTTATGACGACCCCTCCCCGAAACGTACGCTTTGCCGGCTTTTCGATATTTCTCGAACTGCGTCCAGATGTTCTTCAACAGGGTCCCCACCTCTTCGAGATTATACTCCTCCACCATATCTTGAATGGTTCTACCGAGCGCGTCCTCTCGTCCCATGTTCGCGCCCCATGTTAAGAGCGTTTTCACGCAATCAGCATGGTTGCTAGAAAAAAAAAAGAAATCGACGGTCCGACAATTATAATCTCATCACCTCAATCGTCGTACGCCTGGTTTTTGATTTCTAGGTTCCTCAGATCTTCTGACTTCGGGTGGCGCGACTCGTGTCCGTCGATATTGATGCTCGACTCAGACAGCTATCATTGGACTTTTCCCGGGATCCGCGCAGGCTCCATGTCGATCTCCAGGACTATTTCGGTCTAGACTCGAAGCAGACATCACTCGAGCCAGTCCAACTTCGCCTTTCACAAGGCAGCCGCTGAGAAACCAAGCTGTACTGGAGAGCGATACCCTGTGGGATACGGATCGAGAGCCGACTCACTTGAGAGTGGCGAGATGGAGAGGCGTGAAACCGTCACTGGCTTCATTGTCTACATCAGCACCCATCTTAAGTAGAACTTGAAGACACGCGTCGTTGCCATTCATCGCCGCCACATGCATCGATGTGTATCCTGTCGGATCGAGGGCTCGGATATGAGCTCCCTCACTGCACAGGAACTGTAGAAACGGAATAAACTCGATGAGAATCGTGAGAACCATAATTTTTCGGGATCTATCCAAAATCCATTCACAATCTAGGCGGCACCTTCACGATGTCGGTGTGACCGTAGGCGGCCGCCAAATGTAGTGGAGTCCAACCGCGTTCATCCACAGTTCTGGAAGAGGGAGGAGACGAGATATCTTAGATTTCGCCGACCGAAAGCGGAACGGCAGAGAATTTCGCAGCGTGATTTCGGCGTTAGTTTCTCGTCGGATCAATTGGATTCATCAAAATCTAGTGGGCACTCACTCCATCTTTTTTTATCACGACGTATCAGGAGTTTAATGACATGTAGATCGCCCGTTCTGGCGGCGTCATGGATGCTCAGTCGGGAGAGGTATTCTGCCTCGCTCATCTTTTTGTAGGTAGGTCCGATTCCGTAGTCACCCTCATCGATTTCGGGCTGGAGTCGAAGAAAACACTCGATGTAGACATAATCGTGTTTGGGTCGATTTCCTGAAAGCTTCCATCCTGTTCGAGGAACGGTGTGCTCATATCTGAGCATGCCTCATGACTCACTTTGGCGGTATGTAGCTTATCCCCGAAGTCGCAATCAAGAGACTGTTGTACCGCCAGCGTGGGCGTCGAGGACGAAAGCCTCTTTTCCGTTCTAGACGCTTCCCGGTCTGATTCGCCGTTGGATGTTTTTGAAGCCTTCCGTTCTCGACCTTTGACTGCTTGCTGCTGGCCTTCTTCTGAGTCGGACTTTTTCTCTATACTGGAATCGTTTGACAATATCTGCCGAGAGAGCAAAAATGCAATTGTCAGTCAAGACATGTGAACAGCCGGAGATAGCTCGGAAATTAGGGCGCTTGGTCTCCGGCACGCAGTTCCTCGGAGTCTTGTGAATCGCCTCGCCCAGGAAGCGGAGTTTCGCGTGGGAAGGCGTGCTCTCGATAACGATGTATAACAAGAGTCCGTGCGCGAACCCATGGAGATAATTCGGTGCGCAACAGAAGGCTTCTAGCAGAAAAAGAAACCCGAAGACGGTCCGCGAAACCCCAGGGTCGCGTCAATCCGGCCCGAGATTGGTTTGCGGCGTCCGTGGGATGGGCTCCTCCGTGGGAACCCATCCCGGGAACCACTGCGATAAGCCACGTCAGAACGTCACAGAGCCAGACGTGGAGCTCACGGACGACCCATTGTGTCGGATAGATAGCATTTTCGGGAGATAGGATTCCTTCCGGATTCCAGGCAGCGAATGTGAACACACGCTCCGAGATACGCGAGCATTGTTGAGGTCCGGAGCGTCTTACCTTTGACGGAGAGGCAGTTCCTCCAGTGGAACATCCATCGCTGCTCTTATTCGAGCGGGTGTCATTGCTAAGGGCTCGTTTCAGGGAAGGAGACACCGGAGATCGGTCCGTCACTTGTGGACTTTTGCACTCTGAAATCGCCTGAAAAACAACGAGCATTATGCTTTCAGCCCAGGCGGCAGCTCACTGGACACCAGCTCGGCAAGCAAGTGAGCTCTGCGAGCTTCAGAAGCGATCGGAACGCGCTTTAGACTTTCATCCCATTACCATTCCGACTCGAGTACGAAGTTTGTACGTTCCGAAACAATTGGTCTCTATGGTCAGATACTGCCCTCCGAAGGCTGGATGGATGAATGTAGGTGAGCGGAATTAATGCACCGAGTCCCATCCGGGGAGGGCGGATAATGTTTCTTTTTTTCCCAAAAAGTCAGACTCCTCTACTCGTCAATACACCGTTGGATCCGAAGGCTAATGGAACGGGTGTTCACGATCCTCCTCAGAGGAGAAAACCGAGAAGCTTCTATCCTAGTTCATTATCGTGCGGTTTTTTTTTCTCAGACAGCGCACGCGCGCCAGCTGGGATCAGACAATGTCCGGGTGCGTGCATGCGTAGGTACTCCTATAGTAGGTAAGCTGCTTGCGACAGAGGAACGATGCCAAGCTTATGCGGTAGAAAAAGTTCAAGATCGAGAGGCTTCCTCCATTCATTACCGAATCTCGTTCAGTGCAGGGACTAATCCGGGGGGAATGGGGAAGTTGTCCGCTTTGAAGTTCTGGTAGGATGGGCGGGAGAGGACTGATACTCGTTGGGGGCCACACAAAGTTCCCTCGGCTTCGCGCTAAGGGCAAAGGCGATGGCAACAGGTCCTGATCCTTTACAGCGAGCAAGCGCTGGGGCCGATTAGTTGCTACCGGACAAGATTTCGTCCGGCCAACCTGTGATTTCAGTAGGTGAAAACCCGATCAGGATCATAAGGAAAAGTCTCCTCTCACGAGGAAAATTAGAAAGACAAGAAAAGGAATAGAGACGGAAATCTCCTAGCTACTTGGATAGAACACGCCGCCGCCGTGGAACTCAGTGAGATAGAAGACACGACTCCAGGAGGGCTGGCCGTCGTACCGGCACGTACCTTTTTCGATAGTTTCGTGTTCGTTTGCTGCTCGGAGAAGACGTGCTCGTTTTCGGGCACGATATCGTCATCATCCGACACAGATGCCAAGGCTCCCGAAGTGCTGGAGTGATCACTACTTGAACTGGAAAGTTTCGTGTATGTGATTACATTGGAATCAGCTCAGATCATTGTTCTGGTCTCCCGAATTGAGGTCCTCGTATACGGTGCCCCGTTCCCCCGTCCGACGACGACGGCGGCGGCGCCAGCTTACCTTGAGGATGAACTCGAACGGCACGTGCCTTCACTGTACCCAGTATCTCTGGACCTCACAGATGATTTCGCCGTTCTCGACGGCGACAGCGCGGGGCTGTTCAACGTGTTCGAAATGGATTTGCGAGTCGCCGACGTGGAACTCACTCGTCTCTGACGAGATCTCTCTTGTAATGCTCGAGCGTTTATCCCTCCGGCTCCGCAGCTCGAAGTCACCCCTGTTGTCCAACAGCTCGATGACGCCGAACCACTCATTACACTCACTTCGTCCCCCGAGAGACACGCTTCATCTGCGGAACAACGTCATCGTTTCACGTGAGGCTCCCGGAATAATGAACATTTCCTAGAACATCTCTTAGGATTCAATGAACTGTGGATCATTTATTCACAGTCCGATGCCTATTCTCTCGACGGATCGATTCGATGTTTACGAGCGGGGCCTAAAATCTATCGGAGTGGAACTACTTGCCACAAGTTCCACAAGGCGTTGCATATTGACTTGGTTGATGAGCATAAATTGCAGCTACTGAGGGTCTCGGAGATGCAGAGTAGATATCGACGCTCGTCGAGCGTGTTTTCAGTCTCCTTCGTTGCGGTGCGGCCGACGGGCTGTTCACATTCGTTGTCGATGCGCTTGTTGTGTGGCCAACGACGATTCCTCCTTGGCCCGAGTGGGCGAAGTGACCCTGGCCACTGAGAACGAGGAGCTCTGGCGGGTGGGCGTGACGTTGAAACACGCAGCTCGATTCAACTTCAGGCTGAATCGAGAAGTTTCGCGTGAGGCGGCGCGAGTGGCGTCTGGACCCCGCTGGGCCCAACTGCTGTAGGCTCTGAGTCTGAATTGATGCCGAGTCCAGATGTGGTTTTGTACTCTCGATAGGCGCTGATTCGAACTCACTTGACCTCATCGCTACGCGCGAGCTGTAAGCGGTAGGAGCGCGTGAGTCACACTCGTGGAAAACACCGGACCTACAGTGGAAAGTCTGCAATTTCGTCCTGCCTTGCGTAACACTAACTTGTGAGTGTTGAATTCAGACGAGTGTTGCTGGCTATGACGGGGATCGTAGCACGTCTCGCGACCATAACTCTGTGAAAAAAATACTTCATGTGAGAATGCGCGAGCACGAGGGCAAGAGAGAACGACTCCGCTCCTTTCCCGGACGCTGATCCACGATCGGTGATGAGCCGTCACTGGATCTGGAGACCCCAATCATGCTCTCGATGAGGGAGGACTCCCGAGACAAAACCGTTCGTCCTCGAGCTGACAAAACGTTTGGATTCCTATCACCGAGTGCGAAGAACACACAGTCATGCTCAACACTTGACCTCGACGAAATAAATGAATTCCGACCGCCCGCGGCCGGCATAAGCTTCGCCAATAGAAAAGAGACAGCTAAAGCGAGAAGACTCGTTCCATGCAGACATATGTACATAGCTTACAAACGCGCTCAGCCAATCAGTTTCCGACAAAGACAAATGACGCGGGCACCGAGCGAGGGCTAGCCGAGGCGGCTTCTTCGCGAAACCGTCAAGAACGGCGACGTCGGCGGCGACGGAAAAGCGACAGAAGGAGGAAAGCAGAGACGAGACTCGAAGTAACGTAGCGGGAGACGGTAGCCCAACGGGCAACAAGATTGTCGTCCATGAACGAAGAGCCAAGGGAAACGGAAGCAGAACGGAATCCAACGTCAGAAAGCCAGATGCCACTCACGAATGCCCTACGGTTGATACAATTGCTGCAGCCCACAGGGAAGATGTGCTGGCGCGAATTCTCTCTCCTCACCAGATCAAACCGGTGTCGATGGTGAACGTGAGCCTGCGACGGATTAGCCGGATTGGTCTGGTGCAGGTGCTGATGTCGCTCCGTTCGGCCCTCATGCAGCTGTTCTGCGGGCACCTGCTGACCACCGAAGAGCCTCTCACGTTCTCGTTCGCTAGTTTGATTATGTTGCGTACAAGCTGCTCTGCGTTGGTGTCGATGATGAGACCGGACGGAACGTTCGCGAACCTCCCTCTCTCGGTACAGCTGTTCGAAATGCAGCTGTTCCTTCAATCGATGGAGTTGGTCCTCGTTCAGCCACTGGTCGTGGGTATCACACTGGAATATAACACCGAGTCAGTCCGTCATTGAGCCAGCTCCGATTTCATGTGTCTTGTAGATTTGAAGAAGTTCGATGTCGATCTCGTGGAATCCTTTCTGAACGTCCTCCCCCCCTCCCCTTCCGACCAGTTTCCCTGGATAAGCTTGGCCGGTTGAAGGTTTCAGGTATAGGGGACAGACCTCGTATTTCGATAAGCCTCGTGAAATTCCAAGTCGAGGCAGTGTCTATTTTATGCATTGGATTTCGATCTGTAGCCTGGCAACGGGACATGGGACAAAATATCGAGGAGCGTCGACAGTGGAGTGTCTTTCACAAAAAGTGAACAAACGTTCTTCCCCGGGAACATGGATCGATACACTCGAGTTATCTCGACAACACGCTTCCGAACTCTGGATGCATTCTCCGCAAGCCTCACCAAGCACGGTGAACTACTCAAAACCTACTCTTCCGATACACCGGCAACTTACATCCAAATCACAGCTTCTCCATTGATGGTGGGCTGGCGAGCGCTGGAAAAGTTCACGAGAAGCTCTATCAGTGAGGAATTCTCGCCCGATGCTGAGAGAAAACCGCGTGGAATAGAAGAAGATTTTTCCTCCGCTTCCATCATCGAGAGTCGACGAAAATAAGCACTAGAATGAGCATGCAGATAAACTCTTGCTGATGCCGATATGACCCCCAGCGTAATGGCGTGTCAAGGACGACTGGCTAGGGCTCCGGTTCGAATCATTGAGAATCAAAGACGGCTTGATTGAGACCGGAAATCATCATTAGCATCGAATGGGGTGGAACAGATTATCGAGAGGTCGATCGGGAGATCGGCCCGCTCTTTTTCTTTATTACAGCGAGGGATGCTTGCTCGGCTTGCTCGCGGACTGAGAGCAGCACCGGCCCGGTATAGGTATTTTCGCGCTCCCGACTTATTCATTCGCTGCTCGAGGCATATCGAGCCCTAAGTCCGCGACTCGAGTGGGGAACAAGTTGGGCGAGGACTCCCGAGTGCGGTTTTCTCAAGAGAACTATTCGCGAGGCGTATACAGGAACTTTCGTCGTCGATGCGGAGAGGATTACGCAAACTTGGAAGCACTTTCGAAATCACGGCGGTTGCGTGCTCGGTCGAGTGCCTGCATGCCCGCAAACCTGGCTGACTGCGGGATTCCGGTGGAGTCCTGGAGCGGACCGCTCTCGACTGACGAATCGAAGACGATTGGTGCAGGCCCGCATGTACCGAACACGCAATTGAGAAACTCGAGCACCGCTAGGCGTGAATTCTCCAAATTATAATCATCGTCGTCAAAGGACCGCGGGAATTCATCCGTTGGCCGCTTTCTTCGGTCGTATACTTTCTCCCGAGATTCCTCTATGGATTCCGACTTCCGAGGTCTGAAGAGGTCTCGAGAAGGTCGGGTGAGACGCGAGACGCTAAGGAGAAAAGAAAGTCTCCGCGGTGCGCTCATGTCTAGGCCCCGTCCTTAGTTATCGTGGGAAAGAATCAGAGTCATGCAAAGAATGTGGTGCTCCATGATGGAGTACGCGGATGCTCCGCAGAACGGTGGGCTGCCCTTTAGGAGGACATCTCGTCGGCAGAAATGGTGACTCTCAGGAGTCTACTCACACTCGTAGAGAAAACAGATCGCTGACAGAACTCTTTTCTCGAGACAAGCTCATCTCGAACGAGAAGCGGAGCTATTGAGGAGACAAACGGAGTCCATCGCTGTACTTCAATTTCCGAATGGGTTCGGCCCTGAGCACGAAGCGTGTTATTAGATTACGATTGTTTTGCCTCGTTGATGCAATCCGTGCTCAATCGAGTCTTCCGATTTCTTCACGCTGTCTCGCTCCGTCAACGGCTTCCTCGTGAATTGGATTGAACATTCACGACAGAGCCTGTTCAATCTCTCAATTATGTTATTCCTGGTGCACGACTACTATGTACGTGTATGTGCACAACTTCTCGATACCCGACTGATATATGGGATGAATTTGCTCGGTGAGCGTTGTCACCCAGGAGATATCGGCTTCGGAATCGAATCGAGTACGATCGCATGCGTCGCATCGAGCATGAGCGGTCGCTCTCGAAGATCGTCCCAGTTTCGGGACGGCGGAACTTCGGTTCCTTCCAACCTAGCAGCTGTGCGATTCGGGGACCTATCTGGAGGTAGCTATTGAGGATTCCGATGCGGGGGAGTCTGAGGGACTCGTTCGAATAACCTGTAGAGCGTCGGACGTGACATCCGATCGCAGTGAAGCGATCGGTCTACTCTCATGGATTCCATGCCAGGTGCGCTTCTCAAACTCCAAAATCGTTTAGATGTGTTTCGATTCGGAGAGTCTTCTTCCTGGACTGCTTCAATTTTATTCCTTCCGTTCGCTTCTTCTTAAGGCTGCCACATCTCTCGAGGTCTGACGATAGTTTCACGCAGCGTGATTGAATTTTTCAGAGCAATTATGTCTGAGTGATGCGATTTTGTATGAATCGGATATAAAATGCTGCTCCCGGAGCTGAGGAAAACACGAGACGGACAATGAATCATTTGTCTGAGAGGCTCCGAAATGATTCAAAGTCGAAAGGAACCCGAAACGACGGGAGCGCAAAAGGCTCCGATTCCGGTAGTGGAGAACTCGAATATTTTCCAAGTTTGACGCTCGGAGTTCCTGCAGTCAGCTGGCGGAGCGGAGCTCTCCATCGTATCTCAATCAGGGAAGTCTCAGATCGATTATTGTAGACGGATTCTGTTACGAAACATGGAGCAAGGATGATCGCCGACGTCGTGGTTGCCCAGCTTGACTGCAGTCAAATGAGCAGATATCTCAAAATTAAGGAGAATATGAACAACAGTAGTACTGGGTCAACGACTGTATAGGAGTCGATGAAGAGATCTTTTCTGCAACGTCAAATCACGCGCATGATCCTCGAAACATTCTAGGAATCGCAAGGAACTCACATGCTGGCCCTAATAACAGGGTGCCGACCCGGCCAGCTCCTGGAGGGCCTAGGCTGCGCCGCGCTCGAAGTCGAGATCTCGGCTGACGCTAGCTCTATTGGCTCCTGCTGCGAAATCCATCGGTGCCCGCAAAACCCCCGCGACCACCAAATGGAGAGTACATCCGACGGGATGTCCGTGGTTTCTATCAGGCGGCTCCTCATCTCCTTCAGTGGCTCGAAGGTGGGGCGATTCATCGGCTCGAGGCGCGCCTTTGAAATATTTTTCGGTATGGAGAGAGCATCCGAAACACCAGGCCCGTTATAACGAGCTTAGCGCTCGAGAACGATGTGATTCGGACGGTGTCTTCCGTCGGGAGGAAAATTCGACTCGCTCATTGGCTCGAAATGATTCCATTGTCTCTAGGATTCCCCCGATGTATGCGAGACTCATCCAGTGCGCGTTGACTCGCACTGAATATGCGCAATGAAGAGACTCGATTGCTGTGTACCTGTTCCGCGCAGCAAGACACGAGGCTTTAACCTTATTTGAACTCTGCAGAAACCGGCACTTGAGCGAAGGGGCACATTCGTTGCCCGATGGAGGAAATTTGCATCGCACCGATCATTTCTTCGTTGGCCTTGGTGCTTGGCATTTCCGGGCAGTCTGCGATTCGGCTGGCCGTCCAACTTGTTTCTGACATTTGCGTGGATGCCGTTAGCCGAGCAAGGCGGTCGGAGAGGTAGGTAAGCAAGCGAGCGAGCTGCCTGGTAGACTGCGAGGTCTACGCACTCGTTAATATTTCACCGCGTTGGACTCCATCAAAACGGGACAAAGGTTAATTCCACTGAGCACCTCTGCCGCCGCGACGGCCGCTGAGTCCACCGCCTCTCGAGCGGAATCTCGACTCAGAAGCGAGAATCGTTCCGATCGGGAGACTCTTCGAAGGTGAAGGCCACGGATTCCTCACTCAGGGTTTTCTTGAATTTTTTGCCTTACTCCGAACTCGAGAACCGCCTTGATCCCTTTCGCATGCAACTCTAATCCTTCTCCGGCTTCGAAACGCCTATGCCTGCGTCGTCGTCGACGACGACCTCGTTGCCGTAAATAACAGTGAGCGGGGGACCAAGCAGATTTGCATCGATGCCATCCATCGATTATCGGGCTTCCGGCTGACGGCTAGCCGCGACGAGCTGGTCCCCTCGCTGCCCCATTATATGTGTTTGCCGAATGAGAGAAAAAATAGAGGTGGAAAGCTTTTGTTCGGGATGCCGCTGCAACACAGAATGCAACATAATCATCAGGTATCATAGCATCATCGTCATCGTCACGACGACCGAGCACGGGAGCGAACTGTTCTCACTCAGAAGTGGAGCTGCCTAATGAAAAGGGAGCTGTGCAATCAGCCCAGTCGAGCCCACACGCGCATCATTAACGCGGGCACGACACAAATCTTGGGTCCGTGACCAACGAAGTCTTCACCAGATGACGGAACACTCCCCGCCACGGATGGAAGACCGGGATGAACAATTACGGAAGCACTTGAGGCAACTCGACGGCTAGCAACAGCTGTTATGTACCTCGAGCCGCTCTGGTAGTCGCAAAAAAGCCGCCATGTGGGCAGGGGCTTCATGCGAGTTGTAGCCTGACCGCGAAATTGGACGGCAGCGTTCCGATATGCATAGAATATTTGAGTAATAAGCAGCCGGCCCGAAGTGCTCGTTCCTCCTCGTTCCCGACTTCGCACTTCCTGCTCGAGCCGCTCCGTCTTGCCGAGCAAGGATTTTTGGAAAATTGATCGCCGAGAGCCTAGGGGGAGGAGCGAAAAGTATTCTTCCAGATTCCGAACCCGGGAAGCTTGGCGACCCGGCTCAGCTCCACATATGCTCCCGAAAACTAGATACCGATTCACCGATGTCCGACCTCGGCGTGCGGTTTACCGCTAGCCGGATGTTTGGGCTATTTGGCTCCGGACTACTTGTGTAGGAACTTCGGGATATCAATAGCGAATATCGAATGACTCAGTGTGACCTCCACCCCTGTTCTACGTCCATTGGCATCGACCGACTGAGCGGCGCTCGTCCTCACGGAACCTTTGACTCTCATCCGCTAAGAATTGGTCCAGTCCCCTCGGAATGGACTGGCGCAGTCACCGCGTGTCTTCAGTCGCGTAGGTAGCTGCGAACTGAGAAATTTGATTGATTTCTCCCAGGTTCGTCAACACTCCGCCTACTGCGCGTCTACACTAAGTGCCTGCAGCCAGCTTTGTTTATCGAGCTTTCAAGCTCGCTCCTCCAAGTGTTTGCTTTACGCCGACGGGATCTCCGTCTCGCAGCCTCTCTGTGACGGACAGGAGGTCATGCGTCGACTGTTCGTCGTTGTGACGGTCCTCTGGGGTTTCCTCCCGCGCCTCCGCGACATCTTTAAAGGAATATGGAATTCGGAGCGTGCCGTCTAGCCGGCCCCGGTGACAACCGCGAGATTGGTATATATGGCTTTTCGCAAAAGCTTCGAAGCTTGCCGGCCGATCGCGGCGATTTGGACAGATGTTCGAGGGAGCTGCTGCCAGACAGGACCAGGCTACGGGGCTACGCTCATAAATCCAGATTTGGCACGCGGCGTCGCTCTCAGGCGAATACAATGAACGAGGCGGAGTCTCAAAATACGACATAACCCGTTTCGCACGTAGAATATACAGTAGATAGACCCTGATCCCTAGTAGAACAGGTTGAATTGTTCTCCGAATCATCATTGAATGAACTCGATGAGTCAGTTCGCAACGGAAACCCCAATCAGCCCATGACCTCAATGATCAACGTCAACGAGCTCGGACGGGTCCCACGAATCATTTCTCCCGCTTCATGTTTTCCGGGAAATAACGCGAGCGTCACGGATGGGGAGCTCAGGGGGATTCCGGGAACGAACTACGGACAAAAAATGCCAAACCTCTCTCGAACACCATCGGATAAACACTCCAGAAGTTGCTCCTCAAACTCTGGGAGTGCGGGCAGCGGAAAGCGGCGTCGAGGATTGCGGGAAGTTCGAACTCATCAGAATGCCGTGGATGGGAAGCCTTCATTGTGCTCATGCCATCGGAGATGGTAATCAAAAGTTCGAATTTTCTGAACGCAATCGTTGGAAGACTTATGTGCTCAAAAACTTCCCGTCTCCTTCGCATACCAAGCATGGAGGAACTAGTTTCACATATTGCTCCCGTAACGTATACACTCGCCTGCAAATCACTGTGAGGCACCGACTACCGCGTGCACTCTGCCTAAAACAGCGCTTCGGGAGAGACTCTGTCGGGGGCTTCGGCACGGGACGGCGGACAGTGCTCTCTCTCTTGTGCGTTTGCGGACGCGAATCGATGTCTACATAGAAGGATCGTAGGCAGAATAGAGTGCCAGGGTGTCGCGTCATCGTCACAGGAGCTTCGTTTGTCGAGGCGGCGGAACTGTACTCTCAGATCTCAATATAGGTATCCATAAGGCAGACAGTTGGCGCGTACAATGAGAGCGACCGTCGACCACTTACATAGTGTTGAAAACGAAAGGGGCACGATTGATGGATCCGTATCGGTTCTTTCCGCTCTTCACGAGGGAGAGTAAGTATAGAATGGAGAATTCCAACCAAATTCCAGGATCGTTCTCATCTCTCTTGTCTTCGTGATATTGTTCCGTGATGGGATGTCAGATCACAATCGTCTACATACACATCTACATGCTCACAGAGTCGGCTCCTTCCAAGAGCGGTCTCGTTAATTCTTTCGAAAGGCATTTTCTGACCCATCGGCTTGATTCCGGATGCAGGACAGGGTCGACGAACATGTGCGAGGGTGCAACTATTGTCAGAGATTATGTTCAACCTCGAGGCTTTGCCCAAACTGCAGGAGTGCGGTGCAGAGCACCAAACATCGGAGCCTCAGAGAAACGGTCCCAGTGTAGGATGAAAAGGCTGACCGCAGCTCAACGCATGACGCAGGTGGATCCCTCGGTCGAGTGGGTCACATCTCCGAGCTCCGAACTCTCGCAGCTTCAGCTGTCAAGTTCGCGGATCCCCTCCCGAATGCACCAAGACCCCTGAAGGGTCTCTCCGGACATACCAGAGAGGCCCTACGATGGATCGGATAGATGCCGGATCCTAGAGAATCTGAATCTTTCCGCTCACAAGAAGGTCAGTAGAGAAGAAAAACTTATTGTGCATCCGAGAGTATCGAATGCAATACGAGATTGCAATAGTGCAAGGTCTCCTTTGAGTAGACGCAGCCAGCCTGCTGATATCTGATGGCATCTCAGGTCACGCGCGGAATCACAGCACTTCTTCCGAAGCATCCGAAAAGGTTGCCTGGATCAATGATCTCGAAGAAAGAGTGGCCAATCGGATGCGGAAGCGATTCGACTCTTGCATACGCGAATTCCGACCAGGCGCTGAAAGTCGGCTGCGTTCTTGCGGATAGATGTTCGATTTCAATTTGCATTCTGTCTTCTCGTTTCTTGGGAAGGCGTGGTGACTAGGATCCGAAAACTCACATGACACTCTCGGTTTGCACGGAGGTGAAACGCTATCAGCAATGAACGTCAGGCTTGCACTGAATTGTCGCCAGACACTCGTCGCATGATCGCTCATTGGGCGATCCAGCAGTAGCTTGTAAGGAGTGAAATTCCGACATGGAGGTGGAAGCCTCTGATGCTGTTTCGTGAGGAGAGCTCACTGTTTCCTAACCTCACCGGCGAGGGCCGCGCATGCGCATTCCTTGTGACCCCGTGAGAAGCCGTCAAACGTCAGATGCCAAAGGGCTCCGAGGACTAAGGAGACTACCTCTCATGGAGTCGATCACTACTACTCCGTGGTTGCGAAAGCGAGCCATAACGAACTAAGGATCAACGGAGCACTCGACGAAGGTGAGATCTTAATTCCCGGTTATCGAGACGCTTCGAAATTTATTCGGAATGTATAGGTGAGTGACAATCGACGTGACCAGAGTCTAGAGTCCACGACGGAGCAGCCCTTCGGAACCACTCGATTCGAGCAGATAATTGGATTTCCTCTCTCGTTCTCTCCTTCTCCGTGTATGAGAGAGGGGCTAGGAGCTTGAGCGAGGAGCGAGCTTTATCACTATGATTTTCGGCGTAAAGATTATCCCTATTGTCGGATTTGACTTTCCCTCGCTACACGAGAACAACCCCGTTTTGTGCCCAGCGAGCCGGTCGATTTGCGACTCTCGACTTGATCGAATGTGTGTAGGTTGTGGCCTTGTGCTGGTTGATACGATACGGAACGCTCTTGCATTTAGTCTGCGGAGATCTTAGGCGGTTTATGCTCCGAATTGCGATCTTACTTGGTCGAGGTAGCAGAGAATTCTTTGAGCGTGCCCGGGCGCGATATGACGCGGTACCCTTTGGCTCAGGGGTACGTGAGATGGAGGATGATGTGCCGACGGTAAGGCCAGCGGTGCGCCGAGAAAACATGGTTCCAGATGGAATTCGCTACAGTCCTCTTCCGTCGAAGACTGCAGAACAACTTCCTGTAAAAGACGAGACATCTGTGAGAGAGGAATTTCGGTGATGATGGGCTCTCCGCTCCCGTTCCGTGTGCCTTTGTGCTAGAGTCGCGTTGATTGAGGAACGGGCACCGGCTAGAAGCTGTTTGAGCGAGCGATGTTCGGGAGTGGACGAGCTCCGTGTCGCGGAGAAGCTGTTCGAGTGATCGTCGTATGACACAGCGTCCGGCATGAGGAAAAAGTCGAAATCGCTGAAGGAAACGGAGCTGATTCGAAGTTCAGCTTGGACGGGAAAGACTTTGGGGGAGCCCACGGCGACTCATGAAACTGCCATCGTCTCGAAAGACGGGAAGCGGGGAGGAGAGGCAAGACAGCTGAGGAGAGAACAGAAACCGCCATTCGATTCTCACCACACCCGAGAGTTCGACTGCCAGCCTCGAAGTTTCGGAGTCCCGAGTGAGCACGGCCACGGAGGCGCTCCCAGCGCCGAGGCAGCGCGCCCGAAGGTATTTCCATAGTCGCGGTCGACGGGAGATTAGGATAAATTCTCTACCAGGAAAAAGACGCGGGCTCAGGGTGGGGAACTCGGGCTTCTCCTCACCATTCAGAGCTTTGCATCAAGATCGAGCTCGCTGAGCAGACCCCCTCGACGTCGGAGTTCCGTGCTCAGTGGAGGGTGAACTCAGATCGTTTCTGATCTAGAGATCATGCTGAGACGTGTGACCGAAGAGTTTTTCCTCTTCAGAAATCAGAACGCATGCGACTGCAATCAGCCGCTGATTGATCTCGCGTCGGCGCCGTTCTCGTCCGATAGGGAGCGTTGATCTTTCCAGACGCTCTCACCATCAAAGACAAGAGGAAGCGGCTCGTGTCCCGACCTCGTCGTATATGTATCCTTATGCAGGCTCTAGAGGAGCTACACTCCGCAGAAAACGTCAGGTGCTTCAGGCATGTGAATCTCGCACGGAAAAGGGGAGACGAAGAGTGATTCATTTCCAGTCAATCATTCACTAGCATCATTTCTGTGTATCCCTGGAAGGGTCGATCCCGGGACGCAATCATCTGGCTCGTACTCTGAACTCTGGATGCGCGCCCGGATGCGGGATTTGCGCGGCTCTTCCCGAAATTCAATGACGAGCTCCTGGGACTCTCGATGTGGACGGAGACGCCGTGTTTTCCAGTCAGAGCAAGCTGATCCATGCGAGAGAATTCGCCCTGGGAACTATCCTCGTTTGCGAGCACAATGCGCGATCGGTACACGACGCGTAGCACTATGCTCCGGCCTTTTAGTAACTCTCGACAAAAGAGCGTGCGTGAAAAGATCGTGGGACGATTATTTTCCCTGAGCTGCATCCTGAGGACATGCAGGGCGTCTGTCTGGGCTCTGCCTCGGGCGCTAATGCCGCGAAACCAGAAAAGGCGTTTTCGCATGTTCGGGCAAATCCACCGCTCAAAGCTCGTGAAGCCGTCCCGGGCCCGAGATTTTTCCAGTCAACTCTGTGCCCCCCACGCGGGATCCTGTGGTGCCGCGGTAATTTTTCCCCCAGGGATCACTTATTCGGAACATGGGCTCGTCTTCGAAAGTTTCATCGATCACAAAACCAGAGCCTGGAAGACGCCTTGCTAGCATCGGATACGGAGTTCATTGTTCCTTGTAAAGTTCTCTGGGTGACGAACTCGTGAATTCCCCGTCCATTTGCTCTCCAGTTCTATTTCCCTCCTACGGCGAGGATGAACCGACAACCCTAAACAGCTCTTAACGAGTTCGAGTCGCAGTCCTTGCACACATTCCGAGACCAAATGATGCTTCAGTTCCTCGGAACAAAGCCTCACGAATCGTCTCCCCCGGAGCAGCTGAACTCCGACTTGAGACGCCGGAGAGAATTGTCTCTATCGAATTTCGTCGGGTGAGCAAGACTCGACTGGTGTTTCGGTCAGCCTCCTTCGGTTATTTCCTCGCAATCCCTCTCAGAGACCTGTATGATGGTATGACACGTCGGATGGCGGAATTCAATAATTCAGAAGCGTAGATCGCATGTGGCGAGAGAAGTTTCCAGGCACGTATTCCATTATGTATCGTATTCGCCGAAGATGACAGGAGTCCATGCTGGAGAGCTCTGGACCGCCATCGAGTGAGATACCAGCATCCCTTCAATCGGTCGCTGCCGCCGCCGTCATCGTCATCTTCTTCTTCCTAACTCACGGCAGCTGCTCGAAGGGGTGAATCGGGAGGAGAGCGGTTCAAGACGGTCACGAACGAGCAAACGAAAGGGAAAACTTCGCCGGAACTCGAATCTACTTTTTGCTCCGGAAGATCTCTCAAACAGTTAGTTGGGAGCAAGAAGTTTTTCCCATTGAATTTTCCCCGGGAATTCTCACTCGGACGAACTACGGGTGCGTTCGAGGCGGGTAGTTAGACCGGCTGTTCCCCTCACCGCTCTTATCCTCATTCATCCAGGAGTTACTCGCCTGGAATTCTGAGCACATTTCGATGGCCGGAGGATTTCATTACTCGCGATCCGCGGAGGTGTTCGAGCAAAAAGAAGCGAACAATGGCCGATGGCCAGTCCGATCCCGAAGTATCCCATTCCGGAGGTGTACAATCCCCTCGAGAGTCGCTAGGAGTGAAGAAGTGGGAGGACTCGAGCGTCGGTAGTACCTATCATCATCGGCAACTGGGATGCTGCCAAGAGCAGACGGAGAAGCTCAGAAGAAAAGGATGCGGTCGGAATCGACTGCAGTCCACTAATAGAAGATATGTGGAGTCACGCTACGAACTGAGCAATCCGCCCGGGCCCGTCGCTGCCGACGGACCTCCCCGACTGGACCACGGGTCGGCCCGCTGACTGATCAAGCCGCAAGCAAAGAACGCTTCGCCGATGACGTGGAGCTCGAGGATAGCCATAGCCCTTGTCAGCGGAGAGTTTAGCATGCCTAAAATAGCCAAACTTCCCTCCACCCTTCTTACAGACGGACCGAGCTCACGAGGTCGCCAGCAAGGTCGCTTACTCAACATTGTGACGTCATACGTACAACCAAGAGCAGAACATCAAGCGCCGCCGACATCACCTTCGGCGGTCCCCTCCCAAATCGTCTAATCAAAACGCTCCGCTTCTCTCACGAAGAATCGGAAGATGACGTCAAGGACGTGTCAGTCGATGAGAGCGATCCCTGATTGAATGCGCGAGCGTGATGGCCGATATGTGCTTATTCGAGGGTTTTCCTCTCGTTTTCCGTGCTTGTCGCCATGAACATGATTATCTGTCGCTATGTGCCCGGAAGGCGGGCCGTCGTGTCCTGCAGGGACGAATGGCGATTGAAGGACCTATTGAGGTCTGTAAACGGATTTCGGAACTTCTACTGGGCTGGCTGGCTGACCGAGCGACCGATGGATGGAGCGACCGACCGACCGACTTGATCTCCTCTCCGGATGACGCACGATCGCGATACGCACACCGCGCCGACGGGACGTCGACGGCTATTCTTCCGTTCAACAGAATGAAAGAAGAAGTTGAATTGTCGCTCAGCCCGAACTTCCCGTGACGCGGGCTCGAACAGACATGGGTGACTCGACCGGCTTTCGACCGTAGACGCAAGGATCTTCGGATAATGAAGATTCGGACAAAACTAATACAGATGAATGAACTTCGATACGCCACGTCGAGCGTCAACTGGACAGGAGACACTCGCAATTCTCCTTCTCCCCGCCCAATCTTCTCTCGCTCGGTAGTGGCCTCGATGAAGTTTCCATTGCGGAATAGGTCGCCCCTTGCACAGTTTCCGGTTGAGCCCTGGGCCGGATGAAAACTTGTTCCCTCGGTGAGAAGTCCTTCCTTCACCCTGACAGATTCCCGTTGGAGCACTAGGCTCTCACTAGGAGTTGAATATCCAAGGCTCGATACTGATTCACAGCCGGAACGCGACAGGGCGAATCCATTGACGGAGAAGCCTGCTCATGCCGGAACGGATGCATCCGCATGCGATGGATATCTGTACCCGGAATCCCTAATAGGATTAAAGCGGTGCCCAATCTAAGTTCGGTGTTTCCTCTTTCGTCGGCTCGGAATCCTGTTACCGAGCAGAACACGAATCCAGCAGATTGGACGGAGCAAATTGAATTGTCAAATTAGGACATTCGTTCTCCGCGTACGTATGTACGCTCGACGACGGATCGTATAACTAGTCCGGCAACCCAACGGCATACTCACAGCGAGGACCTCCGCCCGCAAAAACGTGTTCCTCTAATCCAAGACGACCCTCCCTTGATCCGCTGCGCCGTTTCCCTTCTCACAGGTGCCCATGCCCCAGGAATGTCGTCTTAATCCTCGCTGAGTAGAGAGAACAGAATCCCCCGGGCGGGTGCCGCGACAGGCAATGAAGTGTCGTGATGCACCGGACCAATCCGTTTTGTCGCGTGGGCTACTGGCTGGATCGGCGGTCTCTCGTTCCGCGAAATCGAACAACACTGCCCGGAAATGCCTCTTTGTCGCACACGAGAATCGCGGGAATCATATCGCGGGAAAGCGGGAACAATAGAGTTCGATTGGTGGGTTTCCGACTGACCTTTCGCGGAGGCGATGATTCTTGACCGTCCTGTGCTTTTATGTCCCGTGATTGCGGTCGCGGACTGTGTCGTCGCTGGTGGTGTTGTTGCGGTTGCGGCTGCGGAGACTGAATGCGATACCTCGAAGGTGAGGCGATCCTCCGGAGGATCAGTCTCCGAGACGCGGACGAGTTCACTACATCGTCCTCTTCGTCGAGATCCCATTCGTCCGCCGATCTGAAATATTTTGAGCTTGCTTAACGTAGGTCCGTTTTCCGATCGAAAGTGACCTCGATCGGGAATTCATCGGAATGTTTGATTTTCGAATCGGAGTCGATGCTCAGTCGCTCGGACTGACTTTCGCATATGATTCTGGTGCGAGCCCAGTCGAATCCCCGCTTCCGATCGGGAAGAAGAATCTCTCATGCGTGAAACTATTGGAGAGAATCGGATATCACTCTTGGCGCTCGCTGGAACCAATAAACGGACCTGGCTCGTCAGTTGCTCCGTGATATGAGCGGGACTTCCATCTACATAAATACGTGATTCGATCAGATGTCTTGGAGACTTGGTAGCTAGAGTTCGAACGAGAAGACCTGTTCTCGATCGTCCCCGCATCGGATATTGCGTGAAGGAAGACTTTGACGAACCTGTCAATACAATCGGCCGTCGACAACGACGAATGGCAAGAGCCCAGTTCTGCCGCCCGCATCCATATTATCGCGAATACGACATCCCGCGATCCATGAACAAATGACGGAGGGGTTCTCGAGGACTCGATGGAAGTCGTTCCTGGCCGTCGAAGAGGAAAGTTGCCGGGAAACGTCGAATGCCTCATTGCAGTGGAAAAACTCTCGGATCCATAAGTTTCGTCTTCGACGATTTTCATGCCGAATTTCAATCCCAGGAGGAGAGGGGATCCGTCGCATGGATCGACGGGAATGAATCTCGTTGATGCCCGTCGACTAGGAGACTGATTGTGAGGAGCTCTCCGCTGAGCTCCTTCCAGATTTGAGCTCGACTCGTTATTGTCGCTCACGAGTTCAATCCATCAAGTTCCGAGCTGCTGCTCGCATCGACGGAAGATTCTGTTAATCGTTGATCGATTAAACTGCTCAGCCATTAGGCTGACGAGGGTCGCGGATAGCGCTTGACGTTGACAGCTCGGATCGGCCCGTCGCATCACTGCAAAAAGCAGTCCGCGGAATCGATCCTACCTCGCGCGTATCGTCATGAATAGATAAATAGTCGCCGGAGTTTTTTAGATTTGTCTTCCGCGATGGACCGTGTGACAGACAGCTGTCACGGAATTCCGCAAGCGGCTATCATCATGGCTCACTCTATTGTGGCGATACCCACGGGGGAAGAGGTCCTTGGTAACAAATTGACCAATTTTTCTACTACCGAGCTCTCTCCGGACTATTCCGGACTGGCACTTCATTATACGAATGAAACACTTTTCCTACCGGCCCAAGAGCCTGCCTTCCTTGCAGAAGTGAACCGTGAGCATCCTGTGCTCGCTTACGTGTTGTCATTAAGCGTGCTCTCATTCGCAGATGGTTCTAGCTAGTTGCGTAAGCTCGCCCGCCTCTGCATCGGATGATTGTTCTGCCGGAGCGAAGGCAAGATGCGAACCCATGTGGGGAACCAGACAATGTAGCGAACGCTCTCAGTGAGTCGTCGGTTGCCATGAACCCATATCCAGGTGGGGCAAGCCCGTGAAGGTCGTGGCAATCGAGAAGCTCACTCCGCATACGATGCGGATCCCCCCGATCCAGGAGCGGAGAAGGAATAGATCTCGACGGCGATATTGTCGAGCTCAACGGAACGATGCAAGGCTCTTAGTTGTATTTGTCGATGGACATGGGATTGATCGGGGGTCGCAAGTCATCCAACGGCGGCTCCTAACCGCTGGATCGGCTTGATACACCCCGACGATCGACTGAACGTAAAGTCCGACGCGACGGGGGAACTGGTCGCGCCGTGCAGAGCCTCAGCGGACACGTTCTTGCTCCCATTCGGGACACCCCGAAAGATTCTTCGCGACGAGATTTTTCCTTGGACGGAGGTGATGAAAAATAATTCTCGCGCTTTCTCTGCGCAGCGTTGCGGTGGACAAATGATGAAATGAATTCAGGAATTCACTCTCGGAATAACTTACCCTCGGAGTCTCCGAGAACTCTCACGCCCTAGCTTGTCTTTGCTCCGAGCTCGGTATCCTCACCGTCCCACGATTGAGGTCCAAGTCTTCGTTACTTAATTTACGGAAGCTCGAGATGTGACGAAGGCGGTCGCGGAGCAATGTGTGAGCCCTCTTCTCCGTGGAGATCCTTGACCGCGAGGATTGAGGATTGTGGGGTACATTGGCATCGAGTTCTCCAGAAAATAACGGGAGAGGCTCAGAGGATCCTGTCGATTGGAATCGACGGATGGGTCATCTTGATCGGCCTATAGTTTCGACTCGTGCTCCGATGCTCTCAAGGGTTGCCTTTCTCATTTAGTGCGGAGGACGGCTATGCGTTCCAAGACATCCTCTCGGAGGAGGAGGCGCAGCATTGGGGAATTAGGGTCTCCCTGCAGATTCCTCGTCCATCCTGGGGGGAAGACAGCCGGATGAGACCGCTCAAATTGGGGGCGATTTCCTAAACGTCACGGGCCTCCGTCGTCGGCATTGTCTCGCTTCGAACGCATCCTTCTGAGCTTGGCGACTGGCGCATATAGTGCTTCCGGAATGAGCATCGTCCCCGAGGAGGACGAGTCTATGGGAGCCTCTTCGGCGGAATAGCAGCGGCCTGAGAGGCGATATTTCAATCTTGAAGAGGTTCGAAAGAGCTTTGCGCTCAGAGAATCCTCGACATCCCCAGTACCAGCGGCGCTAGTTCGGATCAGCTCACCGACTCGTCGGCGCAGCATGCTTAGCATAGTTGAACGCGAGCCGTTTTTCACAACTTTTTCTCCTCTCGCTCGCGGCTTTCAAACTCCTGAACTGCACGATGCGGCGGTGGGGCTGAATAGGTTCCGCTAGGCCCGAGAACTGCATTGGATCAAGAGCTTAACAAAGATGATACTTTTGAGCGGAACGAGAGTCATTTCCGCTTGACATTTCTTTTTGTTTGCCTTCGTGCCGTCCGTTCACCTCCTGTAGGCGTCTGCGAGCTTCCTGAAGCAGCGGTCGAGGGCAGCGGAGGATATGTTCCGAGAAGAAACAGACCGTTTGAGCAGGGTTCCCAGGACGTGACACAGCTTCGCTTTATGTTTCACCGTGGACAGAATCATCGCAATGTGTGATCTCCCAATGTATTCGAAATATTGGGCCGTAGAGGCCACCCACTAACAATATGTATGCCTACGGAGCTTCCTCAGGTCATGAACAACAAGGAATTATGATGGGCTCGAGCAATCGACGCGCGCTGAATCGAGGATGCCGTTCAAATGAGTGAATTCGCGATATCGGATCAGAACGAACAAGGGAGGCAGGTGCAACCCTGAGGCACTCTAAGTTGCAATTCCATCGAACCGAGAGGCCCCATGAGGCGTTCACCATTCGCGTCGTAGCACTGATCCAAGAGAACGACACGTGGCTCCATCTGAGACTCTCTGCAACAGTTGCATTCCTGCGGAAGCAATATTCAATCAGAGGAAAAATCTCAATTCCGAAGCGATAGAAATGTCGCTCGAAACGACAGTGTATTCGTCGGAGCTCGACGGCCAGGGAGAGGAGAGCTTTCCGGACGTACCTTGTGGAAACCGTGAGGAGCTGAGAGACTCGGTTGTACGTGAGAGCTGCAGGTGCCTTCGCATTTCGTTACTTCGACGGTTCCTTCACAATTCCTCAAAGGGTTGCCGAAGTCGTCGTTCTCTTCACGTCCAATGTGAATTTTCGTTTGAATGGATCGACACGACTGCTCTAGAGCAAAGGGTTCATTGAGAAAGTTGCCCTCGACGCCGAGCCACGTGAGCGTCGACAATGCTATTAAGAACGCCGCTCGGACTAAGGCGTTCGAATGGGCCATGTTGTAAGGCCGACTCGGACCGTACGACTGACGGTGAGCCCTTATGCCACTTGTTATAACTGCGGAATGGTTATCGCCAGAGGTGAGGGACCCTTCCCGTGGGTATGTCAATGAGCGTTTCTTCGGGAGTCATCTCATGCTGGGCATACAGCGCCCTCTCTTCTATGGTTTTCGGCTCAACTCGCCGTGTTACTTAGCATTAATGGATATTGCATGCTCATTCTCGCAAGGACCGAATTCACCCAGTTCTGTGGTTCTCACTCGGCAGAACACGATTTCTCCCGCGGCGAAAGTGTCGAAAACCTCGATAATAATCGATCTGTGCGATGTGTCCCTTGATAGTATATCGCACTCGAGGTCGTAGCTCCGTCTCTGTTTCCATGCTGATAACGCTATCCTTCGAGATTACTACGATGCGATCTAGGGAAAAGTCAATTTCCTTTCCTCGGTCAGACCTTCCAGTGAGAAAGGAGACAGCAGCTGGAGACCCATCCGGGATCTGACTCGGTCGATTCAGAATTTATGGAGCCCCGAACAGAGCTCCAGTTTTTTTCTCGCCCCCCCCTCTCTCCTCCCCTGCCAATGACCCCCAGAGAAGCCTCCTGCTGTCGCTGAGATCTCTGGACCACAAGTATGGACGCAAGGCTCGGGTTGCAACGCGCTGATAAATCTATTTTTTGATGGCACGCGCTCAGGAATTGCGGAGGCTCTCATCAGGTGGGTGTTCGGTCAAATGGGACCCCGTGAATGGCGTGGTGTCTCACGTGAGAAGCATGTCGAGAGCACGTTTGGATAAGGGTCCTACAGGTGGTTGGCTTCCCACCCGGCCGGATGACGATGAGCTGAAGACCTAATGGTCCAGAAGAAACGAAAGCTATGTGTATCGGGCGGTTACCCGATCCGGTCGCAGCGTGAAGTCGAGGCACGCGCGTGAGCCTTACGGGACCATCAGGCCTCTCTGTGAGAAGTTGGTCCTACTCTTTCCCAAATGACGTCGGGTTATAGTGCATCTTAATGCTGCATTTGCTTCCGAAGAGAGTTCGGAGCAGTCTCGGAGTCCCGTTAGGTGTTGATTAAACGCAAGCATGTTGTTTGCGATTTCTGCTGTGCTTCTCTTGCTGCGTGCCTCGACGCTGAATGCCGAGGAGAACTGCCAGCTGAAACCTGTTATTCACGTCATCAAGGAACCCGGCTGTCAACCGAAACCCGTTCCCTCTTTCGCTTGTCATGGGACCTGTGCCAGCTATGTTCAGGTATCGTTTTCCTCAAGATTCAATTACGACGTTCTACCAGTTTCGCGCTCGTTTGGGTTGGGATTCAACTTCTCTGCGGCAGTGCATGTTGAAGATTCCGTGCGACTCTCAATTCTTTTCAATGTATTCTCAAGCCTGTTCGATCGTTACAACCGAAGGCTTCATTGAGGGAAACGCGGACACGCCCACAACATGTAGGATATTCGCGAGAGAATGTGGGGAAGCTTCCTCACGTTGCCGGCCTCCTCTGCTTGTCATCTGGTCCCGACGTCTCAGGGATTTCCGCGTATCAAAACATGAGTGCGTTCAGAGGGAGGTTTTGGCGGAGGCTATAACTCAAAAATATTTACATCTTGAAAGTGTTTGCTCGTATCTAAACTGAGTGGAGGATCACATCGAGCGATCCCCTGCCTCGAATCATCGTCATCCCCTTCGATGCAGGTTATTAGCTTCCGCTATATGATCCACTCACTCAAAAACCTCAAAGTGAGAGCGACCTCAAAAATGCCACGCGTCTCATGATTGCGTGGAGGAAACATCACCTGAAGGCTGTACAACATGTACTAGTGGCGAGCCCAGGGGGAGGGGCGTGGCGGCCTCAGAGATCTCTCTCCGATCAATAGGGCTCCATTTTGAGGCTCATCATCATCGGTGCTTGGCCCCTACCAAGGCAATGGTGCGGGCCCCCGGAAAAAAACCTGGGCCCCCCAAAAAAAAATCAATGAATATGGATAATAATTATTGCAAGTTTGCTTCACGGGAAAGATACTCCTGCTCTTGATTGTGACCTCTTGCGTTTGGAGCGATTCTGATCGCGATTTTAGGTGGTACCCCTCATGATCCCCGCTCTGAAAGTGAACCTTGAAACAGGGCTCCCGAGTCGAAGACTGATCTAGCGCCCCACACGAATCAGATCTCACGAGCAATGCATTCGATGTCGTCGCTCGCGAACGACTCTTGAAAGTTCAGAATCGTCCAGGAGCGAGTTATCCTCTGGAAGATCCTCTCGGTGGCTGCGGAGCCGATTCGCTTACAGACCAGCCTGCTCTATAGAGATTCGGATAAGAGAGACAACCGAATATAAGATTCGGATCTCGCCGTTGCTTTGTGCTCAATTCGTTGTGTGTAACGTGGGTTGTCAGACCTATCTGCGCGCAACAGTCATGCCGTCCCGAGGATCATTTTCGAATTGGCTATATGACCCTTCTAGTGAGCCAGGTGCATGTCCGCGGGTCAAGCATGACTTTACCGAATAATTGAGAAGGGGAAATGCTCAATCCAGGCTGGGGAATGACAACCAAACATGGGATACCGGATACGAGAGACTTTCCTCAGTTGAGCGAGGAGTCTCTGATAAGCAGGTTCGACTGCTTCCGTTTTCCGGACTGCCCTTGCTTGTGACTGATCGAAACGTTTTTTTATGTGATTTTGCTGGGGAAGAGGCTGCGGCTCGAATTAAAAAATGGGAGATGCATTCGGGGAGGAGCCTTATCTCCCACAGTACCCCCGCAAGGCTTCGGAAAGACAACTGGAAGAGGGAGGCCGGCTGCAGCATTGCGCCCGGGCTCTGCTCCGGAGCTTTGCTCTGTTCAACTCTAAGCATCCAGGCTATGACTAGGCTTCTGATAAGAATAATCATGGATCCTTGTCATTCGATATCTTCGGAATCCCCTGTAATCCGATCGAGAGCTGCCATAGGGAAAACAATAACCGAGATTTCTTGCAGGTTTCTGGCTCCAAATATTGGCAAGTCGAGAGATCTTGCATGTGTTGCCAAGAAGTCGGAGAGCGAGAGGCCACCCGTCGGGTATACTGTCCCGATCAAAACCCGAAATATCGAAAAGTGAGTTCACTGTTGCCACGGCAGAGATCTCGTATGGTATGGTATGGTATTTCCCGGGTCTTCTACGGTGAAAGCGCCCAGCCGCAAGAACGGATCCTCGGAGTTCAACAAATCACGACTGAGCAATCCGCAATCCCAATCAAGTTGTCCTTGGTGCAATAATTCTGTAAATCGTCTTTTCAGGTTATAACCCGGGCTCCGGTCGAGTGTATGTGCAGACCGTGCTCGACTCCGAATGAAGACGACATCGTCGCTCAAGAATTGGTCGCTGGACTGACAGTTAAATAGGACAGCGCTCTGACTGGAAGAGATATTTTCCCGGAATAGGTGATGTGAACAATGGGATGCTCCATTGAAATGGATTCCAATGTCTAAGCAAGCCGTCGAAAGCCGTCGAAACTGCTGCTGAAACACTAAGGGAACCATGACTCTGACCAAGGTGAATCGTTTAACCTCCCCGAAAAGAATAAACCCATGGATTCCTTGTCCGCCCCATGGAAAATGTGGATATCATAGCCATTTGTAATACGGTCGACTTATTATTTACTAGCGCTCCCGGTCGCCGCTTCGCGGCGACTCGGTATCGCTAGACTCACTACACATGCGCTAGCTCCGAGTGCGCTGGCTCCGGGTGCGCTGGCTCCGGGTGCGCTTGCTTTGGGCGCGCGAGCTCTGGGTGCGCGTCCCGTTTCCCCGCTTTCCCGTTTCCCCGCTTTCCCGTTTCCCCGCTTTCCCGTTTCCCCGCTTTCCCGTTTCCCCGCTTTCCCGTTTCCCCGCTTTCCCGTTTCCCCGCTTTCCCGTTTCCCCGCTTTCCGTTTCCCCGCTTTCCCGTTTCCCCGCTC